GTGTGTGTGTGTGTGTGTGTGTGTGTGTGTGTGTGTGTGTGTGTGCATGTGTGTGTGTGTGTGTGTACATGCTTTTGGATAATCAGCTGAGTTTTGCGCTGATGTCATTTTGTTTGTTTGTCTGCAGACTCAATTGTTTGTGATTTTAAGCATTTAGTGAAATGTTTTATTTGAGCTTTTAGCCCAGATTCAGACATTTCTGTGGATACCACACATGTATATACTGTATGTTTAAATGACAGACCTTGAGTTGGAGGTTATCAGATAGCGTTAGCTTCCGCTAATTTTCGTACCCGTTCTGTGGTTTAGTATTTGCGAAGCTAATTTTTTAGTTGGAAATGCCCATCACTGGCTACTATGGAGAGTCATTATCTCATCAATTTGGTCAGAATTAAACTGTTTCTCCAAACTGAGGTTGTTTAAATAATTATCTGCAACAGGTAAGATATTAGTTTTACAGAATGTCACTAAAGATGTCAATTTAAGTTCAACAAATTATTGTTTTCCTCTCTTACCTGTCTAATGACCAAGGTTCCTTCCTTGGAGGGCGTCCTGGCTTGTTCGCTCTCAGAGTCTTCCACCAACATGGTCTTGGCTGAATCCGTCTCTCCATTACTCAGCTTCCTGCAGAACAGCCACACAACACTGGTGTTTCCTAACAGATTCAGTATTAATACTGATGAAGCAGAGGAGTGCGGTGGACTTACCCAGCTCTGGAGTCCTCAGCTCCTGAGGTGGACTCCTCTCCTCTCTCCTGGTCCACCTCCTCCTCGTCCTCCTCGTCGGTGGTGCCCGACTCCTCGCTCGATGAAGAGTAGTCCGTCACCTTGTGAGGGGGCCGCACGTCGTCCACGGCGCGCAGCTCTTTGGCTAAAGCCGTCAAGTCCTGCAAGTAAAAAGACTCAACTTTATTCTGTTAACTTTGTTGGATCAAACCCTGAAATGTCAACTAATCTTATCGGCGTCCGACGCCACGTTTAAAACTAAAAAGAGGCCGGTTTGTTAATAAAAACAAACTTTCACAGCAGACTGAAACTGAGGGGAGCCTGGAAGCGCCTTCTCTGTTTACACAAATATACAGTGATCTAATCAGGTCGCTCCTCTGTTAAATCTTCTCCACTTTTACTCAAACCGATTGTTTATAGAGAGATTGGGCCCTGGGCTAATTTAAAAATGTCAGTTTGAAAACATGTCTGCTTTCACCGTTAATCTTAGCTCCAGGATGCGTCGGGATCAAGCAGCATATTGTTTGGAGCGTGTAATCAGCTCATTAGCAAATCACTTTGTCTCTTSAAATGCTTTTACATCCTGCTCTGGTTATCCTGCCGCCCTCATCTTGTTGCTCCTCAATAATGCTGTCTTGTAAGGTCAATGAGGAGCGGAGAAAAAGACCCCCCCCCCCCCCCACACTCGTTTCCCCCGACATGCTCGACAAAACAAATAGGCCAACAACAAAGCCAGGTGAGATTAGGAGACACTCTGACAACAGGAGGACTGTGTTTGCATTCAAATGTGGCCGCATTCAAATTCAGGCTGAGGAAGCTGCGCCACGGKGTGTGTGTGTGTGTGTGTGTGTGTGGGGGGGGGGGGTGTTAACCCTTTCTGTACAAGCAGTAAGCAGGGCTGTCCAGGCATGAGCAAACACAAACAGAACAGATGGTCACAAAGGATTCAGGAACATCTTCTCAGAGGAAAGAGTGTTTTRTCATTGTCATATAAGGCAGTGAATGGGCAAAAGTGCAAGCACAGCAGAGGTGTGATAGTTATGGATGTCCCGATCAGATACTTAGTATTGGTATCGGTGGCAGATAGCCATTTTTTTTTTGAAAATCGGGTAGAATTGGATTTAGTCAAGTGATCGGGCTGATCCAGTTTTCGCGACAGTTTTCAGCATCATCATGCTTTATAACTGTCGTTAATAGATGGTTTTCAAAGGATGTAGCGACCTGCAGATCACGTGATCAAATCACCATATTCGTGGCTGCGAATGCGGAAGAGTGTGGGAACATTTTTCAATGGAAAACAATGATGCTGAAATTGCATTTTGCAAAAACTACAAACTGGATGTTTCTGGTGGTGGGAACTGCAGGGCTCGCTTTAATACTTCCAACCTTGTCACTTKGAAAGAAAGATATAAATAAATAAAGCTATCGGATCGGTATCGGAAAGACTAATCATTAAAAAAAATCGGATTGTATCGGGAGCCAAAAAATCTGGATCGGGACATCCCTAGTGATAATGTAATCTCATTTCGGAGGCTTACCACGTCACCCTTAGCAGTYGAAGTGTTCAGACAGCGAGTGGTTGGATAATTAGGAGTAGCAGAAAAACAGAGGATGGTGGGAGAACAACAAAACCAGKGTTTGACCTGTTCATCGTCACAAAGTCTGAAGCAGCTTTAGTAGYGGGACACTTACAGCTGGTCGAGTGGGCCTGGAGGCGTTCTTCTCCTCTTGTTTTTTCTGCACGTTTTCAGGCCGCTGGAAAGGCGATCCTTCAGATTTAGAGGAAGCTTTGTGGAAACAAAAAGAAGGGAAAGAAGAAAACACAACTAAGCCAGAAGATTGTGCGTCTGAAAAGATTTGTCATTTGATGTATTAAAAAAGGAAGTTGTGCAAAGGTTACGTTATGTTATTAAATAACAGTGATCTGGGGGRATTAGTGAAATGTAGCTGAGTACAGTACCGGGGGACTCACAACGGGGCCTGAAGCGGTCAGCAGGACTGGCCTGGGAGCTGGAGTTGGAGCCAGAGGAACTGCCGCTGCCGGGCCGAGACTGCAGCTTTTCCACTCGGTCCCACAGGGGGCGCTGCTCCACGTTACTGCCAGGACGGGTTTGACAAAATCAACCTCCTTGTGTACGACAACTAAAACCTTCTAAAATATTACATTTGTGGCTTTAGATGTGACCAAAACAACTGACTGGAGGGGGAAAAGTGTGTTCAATGGGTGTAACTTCCTCAGCTGTCTGATAAAAACTATATGATCCAACAGAGACCGGTTACTGACCCGCCTGCGGTTCTCTGGCTGCTGGGCTGTGCCGGCAGGGGGGACTCTCGACGTGACAGAACTGGAGACCTGGACGTTGTCCTCACTGGTACCTGGTGGAGACATTTMAAAAAAAAGGTCCTCAAAGTGGACTTCATCATCTGAATAGACCAACAACAAATAGATATTTGTACAAAGAAATAAAAATAAAAATGAATCAAGATGCCACCTTTGCGTTGATGGGACRCCCTTTATTTGTTCTGAACATCTAAATAAAAAGCTGGACTTACAGGTGAACCTCTCCAACATCTAATGTTCAGAGATGCTACTAAGAGAGAGCCTGTGAGCCCAAATATTCAACTATTTGTTGGAGCACAGCAGACACAGACTGAGGAGGTGGACTGTGAAGTGATAGACGTAAAAAACAGGGAGGTGGATGTCAGAGGGGTGCATGGGGGTCAGGGTGGGGGAAAGAGAGGCCCTCACCAGCTTCCTTACCTTTGGGGGGACCTCCTCGCTGCTGGCCTGGCGCTCGAGGCGGGTCTGAGACTGAGGGTGGTGAAGGGGGGGTTGGGGTTGGGGGTCGGGGCGTGCGTGGTGATGGTGGGGGTCCTGGGAGCGCAGGTGCAGCTGTGCAAAGTTAGAGCTCATGCCGCCGGACTCGCTGAAGGACTGGGAGCGAGAGACCACGGGCGGAGGAGCAGGAGGAGGAGGAGAGGGAGCGGCGCTGTTGCTGCTCTTAAGAGCGGCCAGGTGTGACCACTGGACCTTTTGGGGAGCAAGGAAGGAACGAGAGGAAGAGGAGAAGAGGGATGAAACAAGCAGACGACACAGTGAGACACGAGGGAAGATGTGAGGCTTGGTACATACATGTGCAAACAGCAGACAGAAAACACCACAACACACTGACCTGCGCTCACAGGATCAATAATATAATCTGTCTTTATAAAAACACTGAAACTTTAGCTTCTGTAACCATTAAACTAAGTCAAACCTTAGAATTAGCACGAGGGGTTTTCTCATCAGGTTAGTTTCACCCCATCTTTAAAAATCCAAACAGCAGGTGATTTATGAAGCTAATTTGTTTTTGGACAATAACACATAATTTAAAAGAGACTCATTGCAAAGTCTAGWACAAGAAAAGGAAAGAAAAACTAAATCTGCATATCATTTTTTTCTCRTGTCGATGTGCCTAATCTAAAAATGTTATGAGCAGAACTTGTGAAAKGACTACAACCATGTTTTTGTTTACTTCTGGAAACCGCTGAAGTGACAGAAAAAAAAGAGAAAATGTTAAAACTTACCGCTTGTATTAAAAAAAATCCTTCATATTTTTCTTACCCTTGAAGTTATTAACTGCCATGAGAGGACTTAAGTAAGAACAATAAGCTTACATTTAAAGTGTAAAACAAAAAAAAATTAAAGTATTTCACATTTAAAATATGTTTGGGGCCAGAATATCACAGAGGGCTAGATTTGACACATGGACCTTGAGTTTGACGTGTTCTAAAAAGTAGTTTTATTCCTATGTTTAAACATACTCTTAAAGGGATCCCCGATTATTTGTAACATTAGACTTTATTTAATGAACATATATTTTATCTGTAAAATAAAGACTGTGAAAATACTGTAGGATGTTTATTTTTATCATTTTTAAACTAAAAGTTTAAAAATAAATTACACGGACGGGGCCATTTTATTTACAGGCAAAGCATTCTGGGTAAATGATGTGGAYAGGTCCTCGGTACGAGGCTGCTAGCGAGCTATATCCACCCTGAAGGTTAATCTTGGACAATATCTGATGATCGACTCTTTTAAATGAAACCAGAGAGCGTTGACAGAGAGGAGAAGGTAGAAATGACTCAGCCTGGAACTGAAAATATGGATGGAGGACAACAGTTTAGCTTGTTTGTTGCGCTAGCGCTGAGCTAATACATATAAGGCAATATAGCGTGAGGGCTAGCACAAAGGCTAACAGGCTRAGCTGAGGTTCTTCTTCCATGAAGCAGCTCTGTTGTCCTCCATCCATATTTTCAGTTMCAGGCTGAGTCATTTCTACCTTCTCCTCTCTGTCAACGCTCTCTGGTTTCATTTAAAAGAGTCGATCATCAGATATTGTCCAAGATTAACCTTCAGGGTGGATATAGCTCGCTAGCAGCCTCGTACCGAGGACCTGTCCACATCATTTACCCAGAATGCTTTACATGTAAATAAAATGGCCCTGTCTGTGTTAAGACATATTTTTAAAAATTTACAAAACTGAACATCCTACAGTATTTTTACAGTCTATTTTACAGTTATAATATATGTTTATTAAATAAAGTCTAATGTTACAACTAACATGAAACATATTGGTGGAAAGTAAGTAAATTAAATCAAGCTCCACTTAAAGGTACCTTGTTGCATAAAGTTACTATAAAACTAATCTGTTGTTAGAAGTCATCTGTATTTTTCTGAGTCCTGAGGTTTCTAGCTGAAATGCATGTGTTAAGGTACTTCAAGGTAACAGCTGTGCTGACTCAGACAGCAGGGATTTGGGATTTAGATACAGGAGATAAACTTTATTTCTACCTACTATATATAGACTCTGGCATTTATTCTGTCATGATTAATCGGCCAAACCAAAACCAACCCTGAGGGGACCCGTGTAAGAACACTACAGACAGGGAGGAGGAGGAGAACGGGCTGAAGGAGCAGCGAGGAGTTACCTGGGGTTCCATGGGTCGGTGCATGGCGGAGGCCTCAGATGAGGACCCCCCATTGGAGTAGGGTTCAGAGGAGCGGGGAGGCAGAGGGGGCTGCTTGGGAGGAGGGGCAGTTTGAGGGGAGCCCAGGATGTTCTTGCGGAAGCGTTCGTCAGCCTGGGATGAGGAAAGGACAAACGTGAACTGAGGGGTGGGAATATTTGGGCGCCGAATGGAAACAGAACGGCAAAAACCAAGCAGAAGGGAACCACAGCTGTGTTCAAAGCCACTTTTGTTTTGTTTATGATGAGTTTTAAACAATTAAAATCATCTTTTTTTTCTGTTTAAAACGAGTTCCCATCTACTTGTATATTTTCAGATTATGACAACTTTGATTATATTTTTGGTCAGAAAGATATTAACATGCTTGAAGCCTGTTTGAGGCAGACAGAAAAACAGGTAGAAGTAGACAAACCGTTTCCAAACAGACATATCTTACATGTGCTGATGATAATTAGGGAAAAGACTATTGTTAATGAGAYAGAAGAGGCTGCTGCTGAGGGCACACACTGCTTTGGTGCTCTGTGTGTTAGTTTGGGCCTCAGTCGTCCACATGCAACGGCCCTCTGCTCGCACATCACAAGTATGTTATACATTTGAACCTAAAAATAAGAATTCAAATTAGACGTGGATAAAAAWATATACGAAACAATGCCGTTGTAACTGTAAGAATTTGCTACAAAACACCAGTCTGTTCTGTRGAGCTCTGGTTCTATCGTTCTGAAGACAGAGACTGAGTGAAGGCAAGCAAGAGAAGCTGAGAAGAGCAGGCAGCAGGGCAGGCGGGGCCGAGGAGGCGGTTCACCTCTCTGATAGGCTGAGGGAGGTGACTGAYGGGCTCCGGGGGCCTGTCAGCCTCAGAACTTTCTGCCTGCGGAGGTTCAGAGTCAGTGGGGGCTTCAGTCACAGGGGGACTGGGGGGAATGGGGGAGCATGAGATCAGGTTGGTCTCATCAGTCTTCTCTTGGACTGCTGTCTGGGACTTGGTGCTCTCTGCGGGGGCGACCTGAGAGGCTTTGGAGGACTCGCAAACAGCAGAGTCAACAACCTGAGCGTGTGGGGATGAGGTGTGGGTTCTGTCAGGGGGGAGAGTGGAGGTCTTTGGAGGTTTGCTTTGGTCTGAGGGGACTTTGGTCTCGTCACCAGGCTGCTGTTTGGACTCGTGCTGCAGCGACAGCAGGTAGGCCTGCTCCTGCTGCAGCCGCTTATGGAGTCGCTCAGCTTTGCGCTGYTCCTCGAGCTCCCGCCACTTGAACTCCTATTGCAGAGTGCAGGGTTGATTCAGCAGAGCGAGAAGAAAAGAAAAAAACAAGCTGACATCTAGCTGGCCAAAAAAAAAAAAGTCTGAACGGTGCTTTTAAAGGGTTCACATTAAAAACACATTCTCGTCAATAATTTGAAAATCTACATATTTGTAAAACCTAACAAGTCAAAGGAAGAAAACATTTCCCAAAAACTGATTACCTAACAATACCAGAGTATTTTTGATTACTTCATTACAGCAGTACTTTAAAAACAACAAACTAAGTGCCACGTTTTTAAAATTAGTGGGCAGCTCTTACAAGTCATAACTCCTTATCAGAATCTTTAGAACTGTATAAATAATAAGAAACAGGCCACAAATCACCTCAGATCTCCTGTTCAAACCTGCAGATAGGATGCTTCATTCACAAAGTACTCACAAGAGAACAGGTCTAAGTTCAGCCAGGAATGCACACAGGGACACGTCTAGCTTGCTTATGTTTACGTTGTAAAGCTGCATGGATTTGCCCTGAGCTACTTTGATGAACAGATCATAAAGCATGATACCCCTTCAGAAAAAAGTCTTTAGTGAGTTGTTTTCTTGTGGAGAAGGGCTTTTATTTGTTCTTTACCTTTGCTCAGTTCTTACAGAAAAGATACAATTAATTTTTTTTAGATAAAGTGAAAGTAAGTGCTGAATCTTAGACAAAACATCCAATCCAATACATCCACATTTAACCATCACCATCAAGCACCACTAAGCCAGGAGGATAGAGCACATCAGCCCATTTTTAAAGTCCTTACAYTGGCTCCTGTAACTCAGAGAATAAACTTCAAAMTACTGTTATTAGTTTATAAATCACTTAATGGCTTAGCACCACAATATATTAAAGATATGCTGTTGTTGTATCAACCTTCCAGAACTCTCAGATCTTCTGGTTCTGGTCTGCTCTGCATCCCCAGAACCAGAACCAAACATGGAGAAGCAGCATTCAGCTTCTATGCACCGCAAATCTGAAATAAACTCCCAGAAAACTGTAAAACAGCCGAAACATTTAAAAAAAAATTAATAAAAAGACCTTGATCAAAAAAAAACAAAAAAACAGCCGAAACACTGAGTTCCTTTAAATAAAGTCTGAAAACACACCTGTTTAGAGTTGAAACATTATAAATGAAACATTAATCAACATTTTGATGTGTAACGATGGCACCTGACAAACTGTAATGATTCAGTTATTAAATGTGTTCTATGACTGTGTATTTGTTGTGTTTTTATGATGTAAAGCACATTGAACTGCCTTGTTGCTTMAATGGGAGGGAGGGACGGATGGACAAGGGGCCCAGGGAGAGCAATGGCCACCCCACAAAAGTCAGTAATATCAAATATAAGTTTTAAAAAATCCCAAAAGTAGACCTCTGTATAGAAGGTCTCATATCGTTGGATTCCTGAAACTCTGTTCTGGTTCTGAAGGTGCCATTGCACACCTCAACAGCAAAGGCTACACTGTGATAACCTTTTTGACAACTACATACAGGCTCATTTGTTTGTTAAATACCCATAATCCTTCACTCTGCAGGGGGTTAAACATGACCTAAATGAGGTGAGAAATGAGCACTAGCTGACCCACCTCCATCAGGAGGTGGGTCAGATCATGTTTACAGAAACAAACCTATGAGAAGCAAAAGTCTGTTTTTCTCCGCTGCAAAGTCAAATGCAACCCTCTCCACGTGTGAGCTCTACCCAGATGCACGGTAATGTTTTCCACGAACATCGACTGAACTTGATTTTACTAAAGGCCGTGTATAATCCTGATGCTTTTGCATGAGAGTAGAGTTCAACTGTGTGCAGGTGTGTGGGACTGACCAGCAGCATGGCCTGCTCACGGAGGAGCTGCTCCTGCAGCTTCTCCAGGTGTCGCTGCTCCTCCTCCAGCTGACGTCTGATGTACTCCTGTCAGCCAGGACGAGACAATCAAAACCACAAAAGAACTGTTCTTTCCTTCTTAGATTTGTCCAACCAATCACAACTAGCTTTACAGATGCAATCTAATAAATTGTCTTGTTTTGTATAATGCTACAGAATCTTTTTATTATTGTAAATGTGATTTTGGCATCTTAACATCCWATGTGATTTCTTTTACATTAATGAATGACACCCTGTGGTTCGCAAATGGTTTGAATTGAAACCAATCTGAGCCATTTCAAACCCCACCTGCTCGCGGTCGTTCCTCCTCTTCTCGTCCTCGGCTCGTCTGCGTTCCTCCTCCTCTTTACGTCTGCGATCCATCTCCTCCATGCGCCTCTTCTCCTCTTGCTCACGGCGACGCTGCTCACGCTCTTGTTGCCTCCTCATCTCACGTTCACGCCTTTGTTGCTGCAGAGTTCAATTTTTTTTTAACTGTCAATAGTTCCAAAAGACAAAACCCAGAAATAATAAAAAAGGAACAAGATTCTACCTCTTCTAGCCTCCTCCTCTGCTCCTTCTGTTGCTCGATGCGTTTCTGCCGTTCGGCCAGCAGTTGGCGCTTGTACTCCTCTTGTTCTCTGAGCTGCTGCTCCTGGAGGAGCTGCTGGTGACGTAGTGCCTCTGACCGCTCCTTGTTCTCCTGCTGCAGACGGATGAAGTCGCGGCGCAGAGTTGACTCACCTGGCACRTTGACGATAGAGCTAATTGATGGAAGGAAACGGGACAACAAGGTTAATGTTTCGCTCAAAGTGCCCTTGGATGAGAAGGTTGGCTCCCAGTGACGGTGCTAGACTGTACCTCGGCTCTCCTTCCTGCTCTGGGGGGTCTTCTTCCTCATCCTCGCTGCCGCTGTACTCGTACTCTGTCTCGTCTAAACAAACAAATTCATCACGGTTACACATCCTTAAAAATGTCAGTTTATATCACGAGCCATCAACATTTTATAACTGTTTCTGTAACAAAACAAAAGAACAACAAACCCTTCTCTCCTCTCTTCTTCTTGGTCCGGTCGATGTGGTCCTTGAGTTGGATGCGAACTTGCCGCTCGTTGGGCTGGTCCCGGATGAAGGGGTGCTTCAGTAGCTGGTCGGTCGGCGGGCGCTGGGTGTAGTTCTTCACCAGACAGTTCTCAATGAAACTAAAAAACTTTTTGGACCTGTGGAAACAAATCAAACCAGACAGGTATGAAAATGAGCGTGAATTGTATAAAAATAAGATTAAGACCTCAGCCGTTCATCTGTAAACATCATCCAACTGCAACTCCATCCTCATATTTCTGCTGCTTGAATTCTATCTATACCGTAAAAAATGGTAATAAAATAATCATCTGTTGCACCTGCTGCTGATCAAAGTCTGATTAAATCACGAAACTGAAACGGCAGCAGCAAAACAATCCATAATTTGCATTAGTAACACGATTAAAGCCATCGAAATAAAACTGAATACATATTAGCCCTCAAGTCAAAAAAAAGGAGAAGAAAATAAAGAGGTTTGGCTTTTTCTGCATTATGGGCGACAACAGAAGCTCAGCCTGCCAGAACAGGTGTAGCACAGATGTTGGCCTCATCAGCGAAGCACAGAGGGGAGGCAACGCTCTTCGATTTAAGCCTCTGTAGCTGCCTGAGATACAAATCCAAATGCAGAGGAGTAGGCATGAAAAAAACAAGCTGAAAATCTTTACAAAGAATCCAACAGACTTACTAAATATGCCAGGAGGGAAAAAAAGAGGATTGGAAAGGATAGAAAGATAACCACACTGGTCTTTTGAAAAACAATGTTTGTGGGTACAACGCACCATTTTTTGGATTTGAGCCTCGGAGGGGGGTTTCTTGGAATGAGGAAGAGCGCACGCATGGGGTGCATGTCACAAAGAGCTGTGAGAGGAATCACAAAATCTGTCAGGATCAGAAACTAAAACAGCACAGACACACAGAAAGATATAAAAACTCACGTGGTGCTCCTTCAGCCATTTCAATCGCTGTGATACCACAAGACCATAAATCACTCTGTAACACAGAAACCATCTCAGTCAACAAACCAATAAAAACACAAGGGCACCCAAACATGTCGAGGAGTACACAAACATCAGTTCCCGAGTGTTTGGATCTTACTCTGTAGTCATACGTAGCATCTGGGTTCTCGTCACAAGCGATGACCTCGGGAGCCATCCAATATGGAGTGCCAATGAAGGTGTTTCTCCTGCCCACGGTCCGGTCCAACTGAGCACTCACACCAAAGTCCACTGTASAGAGGAGGAGCGACTAAAGCTTAGTGTGTTTAATGTCCAACATCAAAGAAACTGAAGGGTTAAAAATGTGCTTTTCAGCTTTTTTCAACATAATTTTGTAGATGTGATGACAATAATGTAGCGTTATAATTTCTTTATGGCATGTTGGGGGAAAAAATTGGTAAAATCAACAGCTTCAAGGAAGACTGAGTGATTTCCAAAACATTTTTAGTGATAATCAAATTTGTAATTCTTAGATCAGTGTTCCTAGAACTAAAGGCTAATGCCACTTGAAATTAAATTTAAGACCAACTTCACAATAAACAATACAATAAAGACCTATGAAAGATCGATTTAAGACATTTTAAGGCTAACTAAGGCTTTATTTTTGGATTCATGAACTCAGTGAAGACTTTATAAGCATCAGCGTGAATMCTGTTAGTCAATATTATGTGAAAAAGTTTGCTGTTCCCACGACGTGACCAAAACTGTCAACTCTGMGTTTGGTCGGAAAATTACCAATAAATTTGAGTTGGTGTCACTCACCGAGTTTAACTTCAGCGTTCTCAGTCAGCAGGACGTTCTGGCCTTTTATGTCGCGGTGAATCACATGGTGGGCATGTAAGTGTGACAGACCCTGAGGAAAGCAGAGGAATACTTGTTAAGATAATAACTAAGCTGAAATTTCAACAGAACCTTTTTTTGTTACATTAGTGAATATGTCTGCACAAGTTGTTCTGCTGCTAACTGGACAGATTCAATTATTGTTCCTTTGGTATAAAACTGAAATGTTCCCACAGTGGTGCTATGGTGTCTGGCTTCCCAAWTGCATGGCAGTCTGATGACTAACCACCAAAATCTAAGTGGTCAGGAATTTGTCATAAAACTTTAGTGGTAATTCTTCAATTATGTGCCTTCAGGCTATAGCAGACAGAGGAATTTAATCAAGATGTTTCAATAAATGGTTTTTAAAAGGTGGGAACAATTCAGCAACTGTCTTCAGATATGAGGTTTCTTTCAGTTTAGTTTAAAATGCCTGTCCAAATGAAAATAATAAATTCTAACAATTATGCCAAAAATTGTTACGTTAGTTAGACAAGATGTGTTCTATAAAAAATGCTCTTTGTTGCTTTAGTTTAAGCTTTAATATTATTTGAACATTAACATCAGAAGTTGCACTAAATGTCAGGGGAATGAAGGTTATAGTGCTGGAAATGTACTTTATCCTGGTGTTTGATGTCCTGACTAGAAAAATCTGACTTGTTTTGACTCTAATTCTTTTATTATGGAGGGAGAAAAATCACAGAAAGCATATTTAAAAGTCAAAATATAAAAAAGTTCATAAAAAAATTAGTTCATATAAGCAACAATTAATGTTCAATAGGAGGAGTCGAGTGTTTCACTGAGCTCCACAAAATGAGTTTTAGAGGAAGAAAACCTGGAAACGCAGGCTTGAAAAGAGGCTTCAGCAAAACAATTTGCTTTGACCAAAAAATATGAAGGAAATGTTTTCCCATCAACTCTGATAATGCATGAAAAAAATATGTCTTTAAGGATAATTCCTGTAATCGGGTGCACCAACTGCTTGGTTGGTGACAGRAATCAAGATGATTTTCAGCTTGTTTAATTGACCAATAGGCTCTTTCACAAGACAGTCCAGACCAGGACTAAAGACTCCTTCTGGTCACCTCTGTGTGACTTCTACGACTGAGCGATATGATGGTGTTTTGGTTTACTGTGATATTAAACAGTGACAGTATTTTTCACGTGAGGTGATGTGCTACATTACCACAAGGCTGTTATAAAAATTGGGACAAACATTCTCAGAAGATGATACTATTACTAATGTACGTTCAGACCACCTCTGCTCTATCAGAAATGTGTGTGTGTGTGTGTGTGTGTGTGT